CCTGTTTCCCGCCCCCCCCCCCCCCACAAACTAATAAAAATGTAAAAGAAACATGAATGACCCCTTGCGATGGGCACAGATACAGCACACACATACAGCTAACAGCTTTGAGACATGGTCGTTTCCATCTGAGCTGCATTCAGACTCAGAATGACAGCTGGTGATAATGCACGTAGGCAGCAGCATTCCCCCCGCACCCCTCCACACACAAGATAATGACAATAAGACGAAAATTGTGGCACAGTTCGGACATTCAAGAAAACCACTGAAAAAAATTACGTGTCACATCACGTGAAATCTCAGCAAATCCAATGAGACTTCAGCTCATCTACTGTAAACATCCATGTATTAATTCCAGCAATAACCGTGTGTAAGAAAAGCGCCACGCCATTACATGTTTGTAAGACGTCTTCAAACTGTGAAATGTTTTTTTTTCTTTTTTTTACAATTTTGAGAAAATGTTACTTTTGACTGTACAGATTTAGGCGTGCGGATGAATTTTTTGACATTATTTCCTATGGGGGATAATATGTTCGGAAATTGGAGATTTCACTGCGTATGATACTAGTATATCATAAATGTAATAATAGTGATCTAATACTACAATATTTTTCTGGGCTTACATTTTAATCAGAGAGGGTGAATGAAGATGATGCAGAGGGATCACCACAGTGGTTTCAAATGCGTAGGTATGCTGAAACACACACGCGCGCACACACACGCATTTTATACATGTGTGTATGTATATATATTATACAGTACATGTATGTATGAAAAAGTAAAATGAATTGAAAATGATAAACCATGATGTATAGTAGTCAATATGTATTTTTTGTAAATATTACACTAATATTTAAAATACTGTTTATGTGAAAATGGACCTTAAAAAGAAAAAAAAAAAAGAAAATGATTCACCAAGACAAAAATAAACAAATAAATAAATAAAACCTTCATAGCAACATGCAGAGTAAAGCACAACACTGTACATTCAATGCAGGAAATGGCTTTTTCTCAATGTCCATTGTAAATAAATAAAAACGAGTGAGGGACGAGGCACTTTTTGTAGACGCACACGACAGTGGGCGAGGGGTGAAAGGGGAGCTTGATATCCTCGTACGACGTGTGTAAAGCTGCAGATGAAGTCAATAAAAAGTCATGGCACTGCTCTATTGCACTGTTGACGTCAAAGAATTCATAGAAAAGTCATTCATTTTGGCACTAAGTCTACTTGAATAGTCCCTCATATTGAGTTAAATATGGGATGAGATCTACAGGTTAGGACTCCAGTTCCTTATTTTTTTTGGGGGGGACATTGGATTACAATAGTTATGCAAACGCAATCATAAAACAGATATACTTGTCTCCTCTCAAAATATTTACAAAGTCCACAATTCGTTTTTGGGTCAATTTTTTTTTTTAGTTCTTTTGACATACTTAGTACTTACGGCTGACTGTAAAAAAGTCGAATATAACACTTGAACAATGAGGATTTCAGGGGTCGGGGTTAGGCTTCATGTTTAGGTAAGGTAAGGTTTCTATTGGGATTTATACGTTCGGTTAGGTTTTGGCATTTTGTTAGGGTTGGAGTAAGAGTTGGGGTCAGGGTCACAAGCAAGGCAAAGGTTGTTGTTTTTTTTAACTTTGGACTTCTATGGCACTTTGATAGTCATGGTACTGTACACATTTTTGACCATCAGAATCAATTAAATTAGATTAAAATGTAAAAAAAAAAAAAAAAGAGGGCAGGGGGTAGAGTAAACTATTAGAATGCCTCCTTTGATTGATTTGAATTAAAACCCAAGTGCACCATTGAGAGGAACTGAAAATGAAAAGTACTCATGAGCCAGGGGGCCACTTTGGTCTCTTCCGCCTGGTGTGGATTCATTCAAGACGGCTGGCTGGCGGCGGCGGCGGCTGATGGCGAGGTCACGTGATCACACGCTCAGGTAGGCAGGCTGATGTTGGCGCTCTCCGCCAGCGGGCTGGACATGCGGATCTGAGAGCTGCTCTTGCTCAGGATGGAAAGCTGCGTCCCGCCGTTCACACCGCTGCTGGCCAGCGACGGGTGCCTCTGCTGCTTCAGGTCCACAGCAAAGTATCGGTTCACCGTCCAGCTGCGCCATTTCCTCTTGATCTCGGACTGCACCTTCAGGGAGAAACTTCACAACGTCATTTTTACATGTACTTTAGGTATCGACTCATCTTTTAGCAACGTCAAATGTTCATCCGTCCATCCATTCGTTTGTTTTCAACACCGTTGATCCCATTCGGTGTGAAGAGTGTATGATTCTTGACTCCCAGCATATTTTGACAAGCATATGTTTTATTGAAAGGACATAAAGGCAGGTAGCACAGCTTACCTCCCCGTTGAGGAAGCAGTAAAGGACGGCGACCACAAAGCCCTGCATGGGGGAGAACAAAAAAGTTGAGGATCAGGTTGTTTTTTTTTTCAAACAAAAAATACGACTGACCCAGTTTGACTGATGTCATGACATGTGTCGTCTTATCGTTTTAAATGCTGCGTTTACCTGGAAGGAGCCGAGGCCCAGCTCGAAGACTAGCCGCTCCCTCTTGCTGACGTCCTCGGGGGAGAAGGCAAAGACGGTGTAGTGAATTCCAAACAGCGGGATGAGCAGGAGGGTGGAACGCGCAAGACGTCTGCGACACACACACACACACACACACACACACACACACACACACACACACACACACACACACACACACACAGGATCAGTATATTTAAAAACGTATCTCGGTGCCACTTAGTGCACTTGTACAACTACAATTAACGAACACGGGATTTCATTATCAGTAATATGAGGCAGTGTGTGTGTGTGTGTGTGTGTGTGTGTGTGTGTGTGTGTGTGTGTGTGTGTGTGTGTGTGTGTGTGTGTGGTCACGTTGAAGCTGTTGGACAACATAAAAATGCAACAAATAATGCAAACAGGACATGATGGCAGACACACAAAAGACAATACAGGATGACACAAACACCCACATTGAAAGCAGTTCTTAAAAACCGGTCGGAATCCATTCCCAAAAAAATTAAATAAATAAAATTTAAAAATTGCAGGAATTTGTCAGGAAATGACTTGCTTTTGGATTGTCTGAATAAGTCATAAAATTTAAAAAATAATAATTAATTGTTGTAAAAACAAGTACATTATAATTCGGTCAAAAATGATTCATCCACCTTTTTGTTTTAACAAAAAGACAAGCTTGTAAAATAGATAAATTAATGTAAATACATAAAAGCATCCTTTATCTGATGCATTAATGGATGCATGAATAAATGTTATGGAATTAATTGAATGTTAAAAAATGACTGGTACAAATATATATATATATATATATATATATATATATATATATATTTTTTTTCATTTTATAGAAATTATAACACCCTGCCTACTGCCCGAAGATGGCTGCGAGGGGCTCCAGGCACGTCCGCGACCCTCATGAGGATAATTTTGAAATCCCATTAAAAATGATATTAACATAAATTGGTAAATAACTTCATTTTATGAAAATAAAGTATGACTCCCTACTCCATTCTCGTGAGCACACATCTGCGTGTTTGCCGTTGTTTCAGCTGCTCTTTAACTCGCAGGTCAGGATTTGCTTTTTAACGTGGGGCGAGACCGAAAGGTTGCAGTCTAAGTGTCATTTAAATGCCAAGCGATCCCAGGTAAAAGAAGCACAATGTCATGGCTAAGGCGACCCACACGACGTGAGCGTGTATGTAATAAATTCGACGAGGCCCCTTGGGTTCTGTAAAGTATATCATGCAGACACACGCACACACGCTGCGACAAAACACACACTTACAGTGTGATGGCGGACAACTCTGACATCCTGCACGAATGCTGAACAGCCTGTGAGGGCTCACTGAAGCATTTCTGAGCACAGCTGCTACACAGCACAAAGACAACACAACAGCACAACAAAGACAACGTCTTTAAGGACACGCTCGTGATCACGCAGACACATACACACGCTCTGTGCATTTTATTTGCAGAAAGATACTTTGTGCAAACTCCTGCACGTACGGACCGCGCATTTCCCTGAACAGACGTATGAAAAAAATGCTGTTTTACAGATGGACAAAATGTGCGTACATGTAAAATACAGCTATTTCATTTTTGATAATACATTTTTCAATGCATGTATAAAAGAATAAAAGATCCACTATCCTAGCCCAAGAATAATGAGGTTTCAATCAAACAACAAAATAACCACCATCTTTTTTTTTTTGTGCTCTCTTGCATAAAAATGATAAATCAAGGTGGGCACAAAACTGCTGCACAAGAAACCAACATTAAATGCATGAACTCAGTTCGTACATGTGGCAGTTTCAGACCCGGTGGTAGCGCAACTAAGACATGTCTGACATCTAGTGGTGATTGGTGGTATTGTAACTTAAAACTATAGTTGACTCCTGCATATTCACAGTTCGGCACCTGCTGATTCAGGCCGCCAGTTTCCCATCTCTGAACGAGACTGTATGCGTGTTTTGTTTGTCAGATTTTTCATTATTTTCTTTTAATTTTCTTTTTTTTTTTTAATCTTACATTTATTTTTATTTTTTTTAAGTCTGACTTTAACACACTTATGAAAACAAAAGAAAAAGGAGTTAAACTGATATGCGGTACTATGTTTTGTTTTTTGTTCTCCCACAATGTAAAACACCTGAAAAAAAACATTTTGAGAAAGGAAGTAAAAATAAACAACACAGATATTGTGGTTGCACAAATGTGCACACCCTCTTATAAGTGGGGATGTGGCCATGTTCCAAATGAGCCAATCACATTTCAACTGATGTCATTTGAAGTGGCTCTGATTAACAGCAAATAAAGTTTAATTGTTCAACAAGGCGCTGAATTATGCTTGTCAATTCATGTCATGCAAAGCACGATGGCCTCATGTTTAGTGCCTCAAATTTTGGAGGCTTCCTCTCACATTCCAAAGACATGCATGCTGGGCTCATTGAAGACTCGAAATTGTGTGCATGAATGCTTCTTTGTCTACATTTGGTCTGCAAAAAATTGTGTGTGTGTTTTTTTTTCTTTATGTCTGTGTAGATTCAGTCATTGAATCAAGGTTACTGGACTCTTTGTTTATTGATTTTGTTGTGTTTTTTGTTTCTGTTTTTTTAATCCTGAAAATGTCCAAAGTATGAAATCGGCAACTATGCTATTTGCCTAAAACTGTATCCCCTTTGATGGTGGTAAATTCACCCGAAGCTTTTACTTACAGGTAAATGCTGGATTCATTGCCTCCGATGTCAGGGGACTGCAGCTTCTGCACCAGGATGATGATGATTCCCACAAAGAGAACAAAATTGATCTAAAAAGAGCCAAAAAAAAAAAAAAGACAGCAAATACGTCTTGTTATTACGTGACGTCTCCAGGCGGACCTGACAAGGTGAGGGCGTGTGGAACATGAGGAGCTTCCTTCATACCATAATGGAGGCCACTACAGGTCCTTTGATAACCCACCAGAGAGCAGTGTGTTCATTTGTATCCCAGCATCTAGAGGAAGAAGAGGACGAAATAGTCTACAATTTTACACGCACATTCCGAAAGCCGACAGAGTCGTTGGGTAAGTGTAAGTATGCCATTTGCACAAAGTGATGAACGACCACTATTTATTATGTATGGTAGACAAAATGCAGGATCAAGAGCTTACCCGGTGTCGTGAAAATGGAGCCTCAGCACGGCCCAGACGGTCACACAAATGGTGGGGGTTCCTATTGAAACAAAACAGACATTACAGTCAAAATAAGATGAAATTAAAATAATAATAAGCCCTTGTTTATGACATATTGATAACTTGCAGTGACAACCCCTTAATGGGACACACTAACCCTTTTAGTATTATGTATTATACATTATGTAGTGGCTCCACCTAGTGCGAATGTTGACAAATTACGATTAAAACAGAGAAGAGAAAAAAAAGTCAATTTTTTGTGAAAATTGAATGAGGAGATCTGAAGTACTGTTATAAATACGACTTCACTCTAATAAAACCTGCTTTCTCTGGATTAAAAAAACGTCTTGGAATAAATGTTGCATGTTTTTTTTTTTACTTTTTAATACATATAAATATAAATATGTAAATCACATCCAGTGATGAATATAAAATCATCTGATATCACAATTGCTGTTTAAAATATGTGTTTGCTAAATAGAGTTACAGAACGTTTGAACGAAAAAGGAATCTTAATTCAAAGAAAGATATGAAAAGATTTACCCCATCCGACGATGGTGTACCAGTAGAAATATCGTCTCTCGGGGAAAAATGTCTCCACCAGCAGAGTGAAGAGGTAGAGACCTTCGATGAAAAGCCAGAAGTAGTTGGACATGACGCAGTAGTGGAAGAAAACCATCACCGCTTTGCACGCCACCTGCAGAAGCACACATAAACAACAGTAAAGATTCCAATCCACCTGCTTTGCTTAAAAAAAATAAAAATGAAAAAAAACGGCCGAAATATATTCTGAAATTCTGCGACAAGTAATCTAAAATATGCACAGTAGAAACTTGTAGTTAAATTACTGTCGAATATCTTGAGTGGCAGCTTGTATGTAACATGAGGTTCTTGCTTAAAATAACATTTAAAAAGAAAATAAACCGCTTTTAAAAATGTCGTATTTGAAAGAAGTAATGTTTATTTTGAATTTAATACAGCAACAAACATTTATTTTGGTAGCTTTAAGTCAAACTGAACACAAGGTGCCACACGTTAAAATAATTTCATGTCTGCCAGCTATTTCGCAAAAAAAAAGGTGTTGAAAATGATTAAAAAAAACTCGAAACATAAATAAGAAAAGTATCATTATACTGGCGCTTCATGACTGTTAATTACCTGCTAATTATAAAACACAACAATGTAACGGGCTGTTGTCAGATAACCATTGTGGCTATGTTAATTTGAGGCGAACAGCAATATGGCCATTAGCATCGCCAATTAGCTCCATTCATCGTGGTTGCTTAGAGCGGGCGATGTATTGCTGCCGGACAAAAGATCTTGTTTTGCATTGGTAATGAGAATAATTGTTCGTTTTTTAATTAGATAAGATGACAAGTAAGAGACGTTCAAGGCATTGAATCTGATACTTGTTTGTCGTGATTGTGTTTTTATTTATAACCAGCAGGTGGCAGTGGAGGGCTTTATGCCCCTACTGCACGTCTCAATTCGCCATGGATTGAGGGACTGTCGCGATGTCAAGCCTTCGTCGAGTTATTCTTCATCTTGCTCTTGATTTTGACTCCCAAGTGTTGAATGCTCCAGACGTTCTTTCTGATTCATGGCCCTTAGTTTCTCAATTGTTGTATGATAACCTTTTTTTTTCAACCCTTTCTGAGTGCACGTTTCAAGAGTCCTATTCTGTTCCAGAACTGTTACATTGTTATATTGATTTCATGCACTGCATGTCCAAATGTTGGGACTTTTTGTGGACGGATTAAAAAAAAAAATACATACATGAATATTATTCATTAATGCATTTATAAAATGTAATCTAATAAATAAATGTATAATACAGATATAATATAGAAATGACTATACATACTATGCATATAAAAAAACAATTGGTTCCAAAATTATGCACTACATATATATATATTGTGTGTGTGTGTGTGTGTTAAAAAATTCTGTATATGCTTTACAGTATGTATCTTTTAAATACAAAAATATACCAAATATAAATCTATATATAACCAATATAGTATATGACAAAAATGAATAATTACATAACAGATAAAGAATATAAAAAATTACATGATTGGACAGCAACAATAACATCATAAAAGTAAATTATTATTATTATAAATAAAAATAAAATCAGATAAAAATAGAATGACCATGTATTTAATAACAGAAATACATGACAATGTAAATAACACACATGCAAAACATCATACATACACACACACACACACACACACACACACACACACACACACACACACACACACAAAAACTAACATAATAGGTATCCAAAATACAGTATTCATGTTTGAGTAGAGACAGGCTCAAAGAAGACTTCAGGGTGCAAATCGTAATCTGACTGACCGTATGCACAAAGCAGTGGTCGCTGTCCTCCTGCGCATACAGCACGCCGTCCTTGATGAAGACCGAGATGGCTCTCAGCATGAACGACACGAACAGGTTCATGTGGATGAAGTTTCTGGTGCAGTGGAGTTTCCTAAATGGGAAGGAGATACATCCCCAAAATAATGGATCTGTCCCTATTTCTATTTATTTATATAAGTATAACTTATGTATCTTTGATCATCTATCTATACCAGTGATGCATCGTGACAGGTAGACCAATTGGAAAAGAAAGGCCCTTCCGTTAGATGCAATAAACCTGTGCAAAAAAAAAAAAAAAAAAAAAATCCAAATCGCTCGGGCCTTAATCTTGTCATTTCTCATGCTCACCTGAACCTGCAGAGGATGACCATGGCAGTGGTGAGAGACACCAGGGATGTGCTGTAGCCAACCGTGTACAAGGCCTTGACTGAGGCATAGTACATGTCCTAAAAGAGGACATAGAGTGTGTGACATTGACATGAGCATGTGCAAGTGAGTATGAGAAGCTCACCGGTTTAGTGGCGTTGTCGTAGAAGAGGCACACGTCCAGGTAGTGAGGGTACGGTTCGGACCAGCCGTCCTCCGTGCAGTTGCGACTCACCCGCCCCATCTCTGCATGGAAAGCATTCACATGAGAAGAAAATCCCTCCTGGGGATTGGAAGTCTCGTGAAAAGTCTTTTGGCTCACCGTCCTCCGGGCCCATCAGGTCGTGGAAAAACTCGGGGCAGTTGACCACCACCACCTCGCCCACGTCGGCCGCCTGCCAGCAGGTCAGGTTGTCCCACATCCAAGGGCACGCTGTGGGAGCGAATACTGTATGTGTGAGGCTAGTGAATGTGACACGCATGCAGCGATGGGAAAGTGAATGTAGCCAGGTTCCCAAGGCTGGAAAAGTTAGCGCATCAATGTGTTTATGCCCATCATTTATTGTAAATACTGCAAGGTGGAGTTAGTTCCGACAAAGAGTCGTGAATGGAGTGGGCGAGGCTAATGAGCGTTACTGCCCATATTTGGCAAAAGAAGCCATGTTTTGTTGTGGCTTGTGTTTTGAAATGTGAAAAAGTTTAGCACCGAGTTTCAGGCTATTTCTTGGGGGCACAAGCATGTTTTCTTTAGTCATTTCTGTCATTTCAGACCGGTCTAAAATTCCCCCCCAAAAAAATGCTTCGATAATTTACATTTCCGGTTAATTGTCATTATTTTGGATGAAGTAAATTTAGCCCTGCCTCACGAAAATCAGTTTCAGTTCATTAACCCTTTCAGGGACAGTGGTTACTACAGAGGACAGCTTACCAAGTTATCAGGTTACAGGGTGCACGAAAGAATTAATTTGTCCCAAGGCATTTCCTGACAATAAATACTTTGTTTTCATTGCCTTTCTTCTTATTCTTCTCCTTCCACCTCCTTCACCTTCAGCACCTCCCAGCATTTCTTCCCTCCAGATGTTCGCCATCGTTCATGCTCCAGCGGTTTTATAGTGATGCAGAGGCGTGTGCAAGTGCGCATATGCAAGTGCGCATATGCAAGCGCGCGTGCGTGTGTGTGTGTGTGTGTGTGTGTGTGTGTGTGTGTGTGTGTGTGTGTGTGTGTGTGTGTGTGTGTGTGTGTGTGTGTGTGAGTGTTGACTTGCATGCATTTCTCTCATGACAGTTTCATCCAACACGGCGTATGTAGCGTGGACGTGCGCAAGTGTGTGTTTGTAGACCTTTCTCTTCTCCTTAATGTGTTTGGCTTGTGTGTGGTGAGCCGGACAGGAAGCCAATTACTTTGAAAGGGCAAATCTGAGTCAAATGAGGCACACGGGGTTGCTGGCGAAGCGCTGCATCATCACTGGCTACGCTGCAGGAAAGGTGCAATGTCCACTCGACACACTTACTGCAACCCAACCATATTTGAAGTAGAAGTCAATGATTTTTATGAACTAATATAGAGTAGAAAACACAACATGTTCTCACAAAGGTCTCATGTGTTCACATTAACCCTTTCATGCACCCTGTAACCTGATAACATGATAAGCTGTTGTCCACTGTAGTCACCACTGTCTCTGAGAAGGGTTCAACAACATTACAGGTGTGTTCAAAATGATGTCAAGTGAAATTAACGAAAACAAAAAGGATTATGATGGAGAAAAAAAGGAGTTATCATACATTCGGTTAATTTAGACCCAATAGTTCGATGCCTAAAAAGGCTGCAATAAAATAAACATAAAGGAAAAAAGAAGACTGCAAGAACTTTATAAAATATCCCAGATATTACAAAAAAAAAAGCAGATAGGTGGAGGCCTTTAGTTGAGATTTTTTTTTTTTAAATAATATCAAACAATCTTAATTTAGCGCCAATTAGTTAGCTGGCTCACCGGGCTGCACTAGGATTCAGTAAAAAAAAAAAAAAAAAAGAAAATTGTAAATTGTATTTTTGCAATAACTGCAGAGGAATGAAGTGTCCAAAAGCCGGAGGCCTTTATTTGCAATTTTTGAAAGAAGGGGTAGTCTTATCAATTGCCGCCTAACTGGTTAGGTGCCTAAAGTAAGCGTAAATATTCCAGTCATTGCAGATTTGGGGAGTGTTACTATTAGCATGGACAATAAATGAAAATAACAATCACATATGTTGTTATTTAGTGCCATACCATATTGTATGGTATTTGTTAACTGAGGGGGAGGAAACATTTATTGGATGTGAGGCATCTATTTTTCCAAAGGTTACAGCATACTGTGACAAACTTAAACATTCAAATACAAAATATTCTTTGAAAGTCACACATATGATTCGACTGCATAGTATTGGTAAGGGCAATATCATATTATGTAGTGCGGAAAAATGTTTTTTTAGCACAAGGGAACAAAGAGAATTGATTCGAGGTGTGGCATTTCTTATTTCAAGCTGATAACGCAGACTAACTCACCCATGTCCAAGTCGTCGTTGGGGTCGTGCATGTCCATCCGCTCCATGCATTTGTCATGCTCTCGCTGAATGATGCAGTGCTCCGATTCTGACGCCACCTGAACGAAATTACGCATAAACATCACATCAGGAAAACACGGCATCAACATATTCTAACACAAGGGAGGTAGGTAGATAGGAAATTGGATCAAAAGCTCAGCGAAGGCGTAGTGATGCCACTGATGAAATCATGTTGTGTCGCCGATACGCACCGAAGGTAAAATGGAGTGAGTGGCGCTGTCTATTCAGTAGTTTGCTTCTGGCAAAGGAAGTCAGAGTGTCACTTTGTCGATACTGTGATGTTTTTTGGTCGCCAGTGTCAAAGCTAACATAGCTTGCCATGTGTTTTTCGAAAGGTCTAAATAAATTCCGCGAATAACTAACACGTCTGCTAAAAGGGTTGGTAATTGTCTATGGATGACACAAGGTGGCGGCTAAAGACTATTTCTGTCAAAATTAAACACTTCAATTCGCTTAAAATTGTTTCCTTGAGACCAAGAAGCCACCAGATGGTGTAAAAGCAATAGCCAAATTTTTTGACCTGAGCATAAAAACAAGCAAATAGGTGACTATTTTTCAGGAAATAACGGAGGCTGGGTTACAAAAAAAATTTACGCTAAACGACATTCACTGTACACTTTATGACGTACCGTATTGGCGCGAATGTAAGACGGCCCTGATTATAAGACGACCCCCTCTTTTTCAAGACTCAAGTTTGAAAAAAGACTTTTTGAACACCAAATTAATTTTTATACAGAAAATAATTACAGTACATCTGAAACAAATGATTATAACAATATATTTGAGAGAAAAAGCATGTTATTTTGCCTCATTCAAATCTTAATATCTGAAGATTTAAATATGTAAACTAAAGTGCAATCACATTCGTAACTGTATGGCTTCTGGTTTTTGAAATGTAAATAATAAATCATAACTTCTCCTCAGCTGGCAGTTATCGTGGCTGATCTTTGACCCACTTTTCTCCAGATTGTCGCTACGTTTCTCCATTTTCTGTTATCTCTTCTATCATTTTCTTCTCTCTTCTTTCTTACCGCTATTTTTTATTTTTCTTCTTCGTGCTACCGCTATTTTTATTTTTATTCTTCGTGACAGGGGTTCGCTTTGGCCTGGGGAGTCAAGTTCAGCATTCGCTTCAATGGTATCTGGCGCCATCTAGCGTCGTGAATGGGTATAATGTTTAGACCCCGAATATAAGACGACCCCCACTTTTTCAGTCTTATTTCAATGCAAAAAACACCGTCTTATATTCGGGCCAATACGGTATTTTCCGCGACCGAAAGCAGTTTTTAAAACTAATTCTGTAAAACTAATTTATTAATGTTACACTTCCTAAAAAGAAAACATTCAAGCGGTTAAAGAAAAGAAGAAAAGATTCAAGAGGTTAATTCAAATATTTACTTTTTATTTCATCATTATAAATATACTGGGTTTGAGAGCCTTTCATTGACTTAAGTATTTTCAGTTAGCGATTTATTTTTCGTTTTATGGGGTTTCCTGGCTCAAAATGATTGCTGAAAAATATAGCAGGAGGGCGAATAATTAAAGACAATAAAGCGGGAGCGGGAGGCACTTTATACAATTCCAATGGGATCCTGTGCACTAGCACCGTTGACAAAACAAGCCGCAAGGCACCACAATAAAATATCAAACGTTAGCTAACTTGAAAATGTGATCTAAATTGAACATATGAAAATAGACATCCAAGAAAAGCGGTCTAATATTTTGCACCAGATTCCAAACTGGTGATACACCGTCATTTGGAAAAAAACAAGATTTTATGGCTCATTTCAACCGAACATCACATGGTAATCAGCGCAATCAGCTCGCTTTCCGCTCCAACCTGCCAAATGCAACAGAAAGCAAAAAGACTCAATTTAGACTCATGATGTGCCCTTTCTCCTTTCCAAAAGACTCAGACTCTCTCTCTCTTTCTCCAGGCATCACTCTGTATGAAGTGACGGCCGGAGCATGTCTTTTTGGCTGACTCATCACTTTTTTAATATGAATTAACCTCGGGCACCTCCCGGGCTCGGAGAGACTGAAAGTGACGGACTGTGAGAACACCAGTGCCTCCTTCTTTTTGTGATTAATGATTGCGCTTATCGATGCGCTGTTTTTCATAAACAAAACGACACGGGCTTCGCCTTCGAGGGAGTATAGATCCATTGTTGCTAGGCAGCAGCGCAGCAGAAGCATCCCCAGTTTATATATATATATATATAGACCTCCCGGGCTCGGAGAGACTGAAAGTGACGGACTGTGAGAACACCAGTGCCTCCTTCTTTTTGTGATTAATGATTGCGCTTATCGATGCGCTGTTTTTCATAAACAAAACGACACGGGCTTCGCCTTCGAGGGAGTATAGATCCATTGTTGCTAGGCAGCAGCGCAGCAGAAGCATCCCCAGTTTATATATATATATGAGAGAGAGAAAGAGAGAGAGAGAGAGAGAGAGAGAGAGAGAGAGAGAGAGAGAGCATGTGTATATGCATATATAGATAGATAGATAGATAAACAATTACATACGTATCAACCCAAAAAAAGGAACCACAACAAAATGGTGTTGCGGGGCCACATTAGCATATATTTTCTAAAGTTAACCACCTCCTAAAATAGACGCCCCAGTCTGAAAGATCACGGCAGCAGACCTCCAACGCTAGTTTCAAGGGTCAGTTAACATCGGGCCAGCACTCTGGCAGCCCAACATGTAGCACGGATAATAAAAGCGCCATTTGTCGTGGCCGTCCGCTGCCACACTGGCCCCTCACCTCAGCCGCTGCTGACCCGGGTGGTGGCAGCCGCGGCGGTTGACACATCGGGCCAATACGGTATTTTCCGCGACCGAAAGCAGTTTTTAAAACTAATTCTGTAAAACTAATTTATTAATGTTACACTTCCTAAAAAGAAAACATTCAAGCGGTTAAAGAAAAGAAGAAAAGATTCAAGAGGTTAATTCAAATATTTACTTTTTATTTCATCATTATAAATATACTGGGTTTGAGAGCCTTTCATTGACTTAAGTATTTTCAGTTAGCGATTTATTTTTCGTTTTATGGGGTTTCCTGGCTCAAAATGATTGCTGAAAAATATAGCAGGAGGGCGAATAATTAAAGACAATAAAGCGGGAGCGGGAGGCACTTTATACAATTCCAATGGGATCCTGTGCACTAGCACCGTTGACAAAACAAGCCGCAAGGCACCACAATAAAATATCAAACGTTAGCTAACTTGAAAATGTGATCTAAATTGAACATATGAAAATAGACATCCAAGAAAAGCGGTCTAATATTTTGCACCAGATTCCAAACTGGTGATACACCGTCATTAGGAAAAAAACAAGATTTTATGGCTCATTTCAACCGAACATCACATGGTAATCAGCGCAATCAGCTCGCTTTCCGCTCCAACCTGCCAAATGCAACAGAAAGCAAAAAGACTCAATTTAGACTCATGATGTGCCCTTTCTCCTTTCCAAAAGACTCAGACTCTCTCTCTCTTTCTCCAGGCATCACTCTGTATGAAGTGACGGCCGGAGCATGTCTTTTTGGCTGACTCATCACTTTTTTAATATGAATTAACCTCGGGCACCTCCCGGGCTCGGAGAGACTGACAGTGACGGACTGTGAGAACACCAGTGCCTCCTTCTTTTTGTGATTAATGATTGCGCTTATCGATGCGCTGTTTTTCATAAACAAAACGACACGGGCTTCGCCTTCGAGGGAGTATAGATCCATTGTTGCTAGGCAGCAGCGCAGCAGAAGCATCCCCAGTTTATATATATATATATAGAGAGAGAGAGAGAGAGAGAGAGAGAGAGAGAGAGAGAGAGAGAGAGAGAGAGCATGTGTATATGCATAGATAGATAGATAGATAGATAAACAATTACATACGTATCAACCCAAAAAAAGGAACCACAACAAAATGGTGTTGCGGGGCCACATTAGCATATATTTTCTAAAGTTAACCACCTCCTAAAATAGACGCCCCAGTCTGAAAGATCACGGCAGCAGACCTCCAACGCTAGTTTCAAGGGTCAGTTAACATCGGGCCAGCACTCTGGCAGCCCAACATGTAGCACGGATAATAAAAGCGCCATTTGTCGTGGCCGTCCGCTGCCACACTGGCCCCTCACCTCAGCCGCTGCTGACCCGGGTGGTGGCAGCCGCGGCGTTTGACACACGCTAGGTACATGACAACGGGAGGCCAAGGTTAGCCGGAGAGCATGGTGGATGCTGCGTGTAAAGATGTCAGCTTGAAGGACACTTGTGGAGTTCAAGGGGGGTTATGGTGGCAGGGTGAGACTGTGAATTAATTGCATACTGCTGATAAACATGAATTACTGGAAAAAAATATCATAATAATTCTGAATACATCGTATACATGAATTGCACGCAACTTAGCTTTCTATTTAAAAAACCCTATTTGGTTCCTTACGTGGAAGCTCGGGTGAGACACGTGTTTTTTTTTTTTTTTAATCAAACAAATCAGGAGACTGATGAATCATCATTTTTTTTCCTATTACTATAAACAAACATAGATCTATATTAACCCTTTCACGCGCCAATAATGATAACCTGTAACCCGATAACACGATAGACTGTCCACTGTAGTGACCGCTGTCCCTGAAAGGGTTAAATAAACCATAATTGGCTCCTTACTTGGAAAATAACATCACTTTTCCATCCATCCATCCATCCATTTTCTGATCCGCTTTATCCTCACAAGTGTCGCGGGGGGTGCTGCAGCCTATCCCAGCCGTCTTCAGGCAGTAGGCGGGGGACACCCTGAACTGGTTGCCAGCCAATCGCAGGGCACACAGACATTCACGCTCACCCTCAAACCCAAGGGACAATTTAGAGTGTTCAATCAGCCTGCCATGCATGTTTTTGGCATGTGGGAGGAAACCGGAGTACCCGGAGAAAACCCACACAGCCACGGGGAGAACATGCAAACTCCACACGGGAAGGCCAAAGACGGATTTGAACCTCGCACCGCTGCACTATGAGGCGGATGTGTCAGCCAGTCGACCACCGTGGCGCCCGAACTATGTTTAGTTTCATAAAATATGTAATTAAATGCATATGGGAAGACAGACCTCACAAGGGAGTCAAGTAGAGCCATGTTAATTTGCTGCGTGTGGCTTTTCGAATGCGTACACTGATGTTTCTCAGACTAATTTCTCAAATATCAAGGAACAAAGCACTAGACTGTATCACATTTGGTTCCTTGAATGGAAGCTCGCGCGCCTCCCTTTGCGGTTGTCGAAACGTGATTCTGAGCAAACCAATCAAGAAAACAATGAGAACGTTCTACGTTTTGCATTGAAAACAAACTCAGCTGTATATTTGAGGAACCATATTTGGCTCCACACACGGGGGCCCTGATTTCACCAAGCCTTTCAATGAATTAAAATAGCACGAATCAGGAAAAAAAAAATGAATTAAAGAGCTCAGTTGTTGCTCATTCACTGATTGCACTCAGTCATGGTGAGGAATGCAGGTTCCGTCTTGAAGTCGCACTTAAGTTACCCAATATGGTTTGACGCCCAACTGGGATGACCGATGACACACACACACACACACACACACACACACACACACACACACACACACACACACACACACACACGTGCACACAATCAGCGCCACGATACTCACCAGAGGCAAAAGGATGATCACAGTCAGGACCAAGTCTCTCATTGTCTCCATCGAAGGGCTTCTACCGAGTTTGCGTGTGTGTTCGTGTGTGTTGGCTACGATGCCCCGCTCTCTCTCACAGCATAGTTTAGCATCAAGGCCCCTGCAACAATAGCGCATCAAAGAGGACGTGAGAACTAATCGTGGCGAATTTGAACTGATTGTGTGCACCCCAAAATAGGACACGAAGAACATTAATTGTAACTCATCATTTAATCAACTGCATACCTGTTATTTTATAATATATATATATATATATATATATATATATATATATATATATAAATATAAATTTAAAATAACTTCGATACCTGGCCTTCCTGTGTGGAGTTTGCATGTTCTCTTCGTGCTTGCGTGGGTTTTTTCTGGGTGCTCCCGTTTCCTCCCACGTTTCAAAAACATGTTGGCAGGTTAATGGAACACTCAAAATTGTCCCCAAGTGTGAGTGTGATCACAAAAGCTTGTTCGTCTATGTGTGCCCTGCGATTGGCTGGCAACCGGTTCAGGGTGTCCTCCGCCGACTGCCCAAAGGCAGCTGGGAGAGGCTGAATCATGCCAGTGACCCTCATGAGGATAAGTGGATTGGAAAATGGATGTCTATCTATCTATCTATCTATCTATCTGGTACGCTTATCGTCACGGGGGTCGCAGGTCGAGCTGGAGCTTATCCCAGCCATTTTCGGGCAGTTGGCGGGGAAC